TCGCACCCTAGATAACATAACATGTGGTCTTTGTGTCAATGGATGATTCTACATTCCATTCCTTCAAGCACATTTTACCATATTCCCTTTATCAAACCTGACTCTGACATTTAGGAATTGATGTACGAGGAAACAAATACAAAACAACGATTGTAATAGGAAAACAATTAAGTAACTCGCCTCTGTTCTTGAATTTTGAATGGATAAAAAGATTTTATTAACAAAATATGCTACATCTTTTGAACAGCTGAAGTTACATATTCCCCCACTAATCTTACTGGCAAACACCCCAATTTTAAACATCTATGAAGTGTTTAGGCTATTCTCTCTGGTTGTATTGTTTTAAACAGTAATGGTGGTAACGGTAATCGGAAATTATTTGACTATGTAATGCAGGTAAGTTGGAGGAGGCAGCTGAGAGCTTAACGGAAGCAATTTTACTCAATCCTACCTCTGCCATAATGTATGCAACTAGAGGTATAACTTGATATAATTGTCTAGTTTAACATTCTGTAGTTGTTTATTTTTATCATCAAGATAAGGATTCATTCTTAATAGTTTATAAATTATTTACAGCTACTGTTTACATCAAAATGAAGAAACCCAATGCTGCAATCCGTGATGCAAATGCTGCTTTGGAGGTTATATTCTCCCCCTCTGTAGTTTAGGCTGACAAGCTTACATTCTTGCTTGTATTAATAGATCTGTGAATAACTGTAAATGTTTATTTTTTTTGTTGCATTATTTTCTGGAGGAACAATGCTCTAAGTTAAACTTGTCTCAAATGTGAGCTAGAGGATATCCACTCTAAGATACATAATGGGTTAAGATCTTGATTCTTTTCAATAAAATTATTGGTATGCACCCACTACTCTTTCGGGGTGACCTTTTTCCCGAACGAAATTCATGATTTTTGGAAATAGAGGATCTAGGCTATTTTTTTTATCAAGGCCCGAACTAGTTTGGGGGGCTCTGAAGACTAAAATTTTCTTGTATGTTACAAATTAAGTATGATCCTTCTAAAATTGTACTGTATGCACTCCTGGCTATTTTTTCCTGCTTCCGCTTTTTCATATGATATGACAACTGGATTGAAGGATTATGGATTTCAATAACATATCCCTGTTCTTCTATGGACCATATTCTTATATTTCCCTCTCGCAGTACTTTTAATACTAGTGTGTATCTCACCTGTACGCAAGGATTTTTATTTTGTATTGTTTTTCCAGATTAATCCCGATTCTGCTAAAGGATACAAGTCACGGGGCATTGCACGAGCAATGCTTGGTCAATGGGAAGAAGCTGCAAAGGATCTTCATGTGGCTTCAAAGTTGGACTACGATGAGGAAATAAACGCTGTACTTAAAAAGGTTTGCTGTCTTGACCCTTCATATCATTGATCTTCCATTGATAACAATACAATAGTTACACCTCTAGTATACAGCCAGTGCAATCTGTTGTTTATTTATACTGCGGGATAATATCCATGTAAAAGTCATAAGTTTCTTGTAATATACCTTTATGATATACTGTTCATATCCTTGAAATTTATTTTGTCTCTCATAAAAGACATTGGTATTCCTAGGTGGAGCCAAATGCTCACAAAATTGAGGAACACCGTCGTAAATATGAAAGGCTGCATAAAGAAAGAGAGGAGAAAAGAAAGGAGCGTGAGAGGCAACACCGTCGTGCTGAAGCTCAGGTTCCCAATTTTGATTTATGCCAAAAACACCGGACATACAACAAATTGTAATATCCATATAATTTAATTGTTACTAATTTGCTGTGTATTTTTCTAGGCTGCATATGAGAAAGCTAAGAAGCAAGAGCAATCATCTTCCAGTAGAAATCCTGGAGGCATGCCTGGTGGGTTTCCTGGGGGCATGCCAGGAGGCTTCCCAGGTGCTGGGGGAATGCCAGGAGGCTTCCCAGGTGCTGGGGGCATGCCAGGAGGTTTCCCAGGTGCAGGGGGCATGCCTGGAGGATTCCCAGGTGCAGGAGGCATGCCTGGAGGCTTCCCAGGTGCAGGCGGCATGCCTGGAGGGGTGCCAGGAAATGTTGATTTTAGCAAGATCTTGAATGTAAGTAAATCTGGACTTTGGATCTTGTGCACCTTTAAGGTGCTCTAAGAAAAATCTTATCAACCTAATCAACATTCAATTTCATGTTTATTCTTGTCTTGATGTTGAATGTTCCTTGACACATTTCTCAGGATCCTGATCTGATGACGGCATTTAGTGATCCAGAGGTTATGGCTGCTCTTCAAGACGGTAATTATCAGTTCTATTGTTTGGTTCCATCCTTTTTCTGTTATAGTTCATTTATATCTTTCAATGTCACGTGCTTATCTTTGCATGGTTAGTATTTTGGATTTAAATTCTCAATAATTACTTTTTCATATTATTTGGATGGGATTTGCCGATTGTTTCTAGTGGATAGGACTGAGAAATATACAGTTCCCTTCTCTCCCCCTCGTTTTCACGCATTAGGTTTTTCCTATCTTGTTCGGGCACCAAAACTAAATGAAATTGCTTGACTTGGCTATGGGTTGTGGGGCTGGGGCTGGGTACAGGTTATATAAATGTGAAAACAATGAACATTTTCTATCCTTTACATTTGAATTCACAAGAAACTTCCCTGTCAGTCAGTATTTTTCATATCCATATTAGTTTAACCAGCTCAGGAAATGTCAAGTTCGATAAGAAGTTGGATGATGACCCTGATAGGCTAACCATGTCAAAATGTACCCATTTTTACTTATTGCGTTCATGTTTTTAGAGATGGATATGCAGAAAACATTTGATTTGCTGGTTATTAACTCTAATTTCTGCTTTTTCTTTTTCTTTTTTTTTTTGCTTATTTGGCTTGGTGCAGTTATGAAGAACCCTGCTAATTTGGCCAAGCATCAAGCAAATCCTAAGGTGGCTCCTGTAATCGCGAAAATGATGAGCAAATTTGGAGGTCCCAAGTGAACACTTTTAGATGTTTATTTGAGAGATCTCAACATTCCAGGCCTCAGCCATCGGGTGTTTATTGACATTGCATTTTTCATTTTAACAAAATTATCAAACTTTTTACAGTTTGTACGGCCTGTTTCCGTAGGTGCTGAGTTCCTGTTGGTAGCAATGTTTATTTGTCAACAATGTAATATTTATTTTCCTGAGTGAATTTGATTGTTTAAAGTTGATACGTTTGCATTTCAGGAAAATAAAATAGTTTCTTTGCTTCGTTTACACCAGGCAGTTTGAGCGTCCTTCATCGGTACTTTCATATAAAAAAGTTTTCGTGTAGAGATAGGTGGACAGTTGCTACTCAAAATTATAAACATAATATTGATGATAAAATTAAATGGGAAGTCCTCTACTTTTTGTAGAGGGATCAAGTTCTTAACCTTCTATCACATTTTGTTCTAATTGTCTAGGTGAATTTTAATCAACCATTCCTAGAGCTCAACATGATGTTGCAACTCCTCCTTGTCCACTGTGGACATGAATCTGGCTAGCATATAGTTATTGTTAATGCTAATGGATAATGCAATCGCTCAAATAACTGTAAGGGAATGTAAGGGTAAGTGTAACATCCCAAAAATACAGTAATAAATCATATAGTAGAATTAATTACATTTAATAATATATCAGTTCAGTCTTACACTAAAGCTTACGGCCGAACGGTTTTACATAAACTTTCCAACTAAACTGTGTAAGATAAGAGAAAACATGATTGAACGGTTTACAAAAGCCAAAAATCAAACGGTCAGATAACAACAAAAGAGAGGAGGTGACCGAACGATCACCTCATAATAAACTATATCTACTAACCGAACATCCTACGGTTCGGCCTTTACTTCCACTTCGACCAAGTTTTCTTCTTCCAACGCCTCTTCCAGCAACACGTCTCCTTCTGCTCACATCCACACGGATGATCATTCCAGCGACAAGACGAACGCACAAGACGAATGCACAAGACGAAACAACACAAGGAAAACACAGGGTAGCTTATGTAATTTAATTCATGCATCAACATATATGTTAAACAATCCAACACACAAGAGCATTTCAACACATGTATCACTACGAAGCCTATCACTAGACTGACCGTCTGGACTGTATGAAATTTGTGTAGCTACATGCGTTCGTGCACCTGGTTGATGTAGTAACTGTGATACACTCAACTGCTGCCACCCGAGGTTATCCCTATCTGTCCAAAGTACCCCTAAGGACTAGGACCTCCTGCCGTTCCGACACATGACCTACCCTCCTTTACGTGAAGACGAGTACTCACGGAACATCAGGATGAACGGCCAGCTTAGCATGCTCACAGTCATACTTTACCAAATCCAGTATTCATACATGAGTCGTTCCTTCCCGGAACGCTCGTTCATATTCCACATCATTTTATCCATCTCATATACTTTCCATTTCTTATTATACATCATTTTAATTTCATCTTTAACACCAATTCGACTAACAACAAAAACCGAACGTTCAGTCCTCACTCAGAATGAGGACGAACACTAAGAACGAGACTGAGAAGTCGCTCGTTCTAGAATGGAATAAGACTGAGGGATTANACATTCTGATATTAGTCTTCTCGTCAAAGAGCAGCATTTCAAATTCTGTGTGGTGTGGGGAAGCGTCTTCCCTACCTTATAATGTGGCACCATAGATTACCTTATAATGTCGCACCCTAGATAACATAACATGTGGTCTTTGTGTCAATGGATGATTCTACATTCCATTCCTTCAAGCACATTTTACCATATTCCCTTTATCAAACCTGACTCTGACATTTAGGAATTGATGTACGAGGAAACAAATACAAAACAACGATTGTAATAGGAAAACAATTAAGTAACTCGCCTCTGTTCTTGAATTTTGAATGGATAAAAAGATTTTATTAACAAAATATGCTACATCTTTTGAACAGCTGAAGTTACATATTCCCCCACTAATCTTACTGGCAAACACCCCAATTTTAAACATCTATGAAGTGTTTAGGCTATTCTCTCTGGTTGTATTGTTTTAAACAGTAATGGTGGTAACGGTAATCGGAAATTATTTGACTATGTAATGCAGGTAAGTTGGAGGAGGCAGCTGAGAGCTTAACGGAAGCAATTTTACTCAATCCTACCTCTGCCATAATGTATGCAACTAGAGGTATAACTTGATATAATTGTCTAGTTTAACATTCTGTAGTTGTTTATTTTTATCATCAAGATAAGGATTCATTCTTAATAGTTTATAAATTATTTACAGCTACTGTTTACATCAAAATGAAGAAACCCAATGCTGCAATCCGTGATGCAAATGCTGCTTTGGAGGTTATATTCTCCCCCTCTGTAGTTTAGGCTGACAAGCTTACATTCTTGCTTGTATTAATAGATCTGTGAATAACTGTAAATGTTTATTTTTTTTGTTGCATTATTTTCTGGAGGAACAATGCTCTAAGTTAAACTTGTCTCAAATGTGAGCTAGAGGATATCCACTCTAAGATACATAATGGGTTAAGATCTTGATTCTTTTCAATAAAATTATTGGTATGCACCCACTACTCTTTCGGGGTGACCTTTTTCCCGAACGAAATTCATGATTTTTGGAAATAGAGGATCTAGGCTATTTTTTTTATCAAGGCCCGAACTAGTTTGGGGGGCTCTGAAGACTAAAATTTTCTTGTATGTTACAAATTAAGTATGATCCTTCTAAAATTGTACTGTATGCACTCCTGGCTATTTTTTCCTGCTTCCGCTTTTTCATATGATATGACAACTGGATTGAAGGATTATGGATTTCAATAACATATCCCTGTTCTTCTATGGACCATATTCTTATATTTCCCTCTCGCAGTACTTTTAATACTAGTGTGTATCTCACCTGTACGCAAGGATTTTTATTTTGTATTGTTTTTCCAGATTAATCCCGATTCTGCTAAAGGATACAAGTCACGGGGCATTGCACGAGCAATGCTTGGTCAATGGGAAGAAGCTGCAAAGGATCTTCATGTGGCTTCAAAGTTGGACTACGATGAGGAAATAAACGCTGTACTTAAAAAGGTTTGCTGTCTTGACCCTTCATATCATTGATCTTCCATTGATAACAATACAATAGTTACACCTCTAGTATACAGCCAGTGCAATCTGTTGTTTATTTATACTGCGGGATAATATCCATGTAAAAGTCATAAGTTTCTTGTAATATACCTTTATGATATACTGTTCATATCCTTGAAATTTATTTTGTCTCTCATAAAAGACATTGGTATTCCTAGGTGGAGCCAAATGCTCACAAAATTGAGGAACACCGTCGTAAATATGAAAGGCTGCATAAAGAAAGAGAGGAGAAAAGAAAGGAGCGTGAGAGGCAACACCGTCGTGCTGAAGCTCAGGTTCCCAATTTTGATTTATGCCAAAAACACCGGACATACAACAAATTGTAATATCCATATAATTTAATTGTTACTAATTTGCTGTGTATTTTTCTAGGCTGCATATGAGAAAGCTAAGAAGCAAGAGCAATCATCTTCCAGTAGAAATCCTGGAGGCATGCCTGGTGGGTTTCCTGGGGGCATGCCAGGAGGCTTCCCAGGTGCTGGGGGAATGCCAGGAGGCTTCCCAGGTGCTGGGGGCATGCCAGGAGGTTTCCCAGGTGCAGGGGGCATGCCTGGAGGATTCCCAGGTGCAGGAGGCATGCCTGGAGGCTTCCCAGGTGCAGGCGGCATGCCTGGAGGGGTGCCAGGAAATGTTGATTTTAGCAAGATCTTGAATGTAAGTAAATCTGGACTTTGGATCTTGTGCACCTTTAAGGTGCTCTAAGAAAAATCTTATCAACCTAATCAACATTCAATTTCATGTTTATTCTTGTCTTGATGTTGAATGTTCCTTGACACATTTCTCAGGATCCTGATCTGATGACGGCATTTAGTGATCCAGAGGTTATGGCTGCTCTTCAAGACGGTAATTATCAGTTCTATTGTTTGGTTCCATCCTTTTTCTGTTATAGTTCATTTATATCTTTCAATGTCACGTGCTTATCTTTGCATGGTTAGTATTTTGGATTTAAATTCTCAATAATTACTTTTTCATATTATTTGGATGGGATTTGCCGATTGTTTCTAGTGGATAGGACTGAGAAATATACAGTTCCCTTCTCTCCCCCTCGTTTTCACGCATTAGGTTTTTCCTATCTTGTTCGGGCACCAAAACTAAATGAAATTGCTTGACTTGGCTATGGGTTGTGGGGCTGGGGCTGGGTACAGGTTATATAAATGTGAAAACAATGAACATTTTCTATCCTTTACATTTGAATTCACAAGAAACTTCCCTGTCAGTCAGTATTTTTCATATCCATATTAGTTTAACCAGCTCAGGAAATGTCAAGTTCGATAAGAAGTTGGATGATGACCCTGATAGGCTAACCATGTCAAAATGTACCCATTTTTACTTATTGCGTTCATGTTTTTAGAGATGGATATGCAGAAAACATTTGATTTGCTGGTTATTAACTCTAATTTCTGCTTTTTCTTTTTCTTTTTTTTTTTGCTTATTTGGCTTGGTGCAGTTATGAAGAACCCTGCTAATTTGGCCAAGCATCAAGCAAATCCTAAGGTGGCTCCTGTAATCGCGAAAATGATGAGCAAATTTGGAGGTCCCAAGTGAACACTTTTAGATGTTTATTTGAGAGATCTCAACATTCCAGGCCTCAGCCATCGGGTGTTTATTGACATTGCATTTTTCATTTTAACAAAATTATCAAACTTTTTACAGTTTGTACGGCCTGTTTCCGTAGGTGCTGAGTTCCTGTTGGTAGCAATGTTTATTTGTCAACAATGTAATATTTATTTTCCTGAGTGAATTTGATTGTTTAAAGTTGATACGTTTGCATTTCAGGAAAATAAAATAGTTTCTTTGCTTCGTTTACACCAGGCAGTTTGAGCGTCCTTCATCGGTACTTTCATATAAAAAAGTTTTCGTGTAGAGATAGGTGGACAGTTGCTACTCAAAATTATAAACATAATATTGATGATAAAATTAAATGGGAAGTCCTCTACTTTTTGTAGAGGGATCAAGTTCTTAACCTTCTATCACATTTTGTTCTAATTGTCTAGGTGAATTTTAATCAACCATTCCTAGAGCTCAACATGATGTTGCAACTCCTCCTTGTCCACTGTGGACATGAATCTGGCTAGCATATAGTTATTGTTAATGCTAATGGATAATGCAATCGCTCAAATAACTGTAAGGGAATGTAAGGGTAAGTGTAACATCCCAAAAATACAGTAATAAATCATATAGTAGAATTAATTACATTTAATAATATATCAGTTCAGTCTTACACTAAAGCTTACGGCCGAACGGTTTTACATAAACTTTCCAACTAAACTGTGTAAGATAAGAGAAAACATGATTGAACGGTTTACAAAAGCCAAAAATCAAACGGTCAGATAACAACAAAAGAGAGGAGGTGACCGAACGATCACCTCATAATAAACTATATCTACTAACCGAACATCCTACGGTTCGGCCTTTACTTCCACTTCGACCAAGTTTTCTTCTTCCAACGCCTCTTCCAGCAACACGTCTCCTTCTGCTCACATCCACACGGATGATCATTCCAGCGACAAGACGAACGCACAAGACGAATGCACAAGACGAAACAACACAAGGAAAACACAGGGTAGCTTATGTAATTTAATTCATGCATCAACATATATGTTAAACAATCCAACACACAAGAGCATTTCAACACATGTATCACTACGAAGCCTATCACTAGACTGACCGTCTGGACTGTATGAAATCTGTGTAGCTACAGGCGTTCGTGCACCCGGCTGATGTAGTAACTGGGATACACTCAACAGCTGCCACCCGAGGTTAGCCCTATCTGTCCAAAGTACCCCTAAGGACTAGGACCTCCTGCCGTTCCGACACATGACCTACCCTCCTTTACGTGAAGACGAGTACTCACGGAACATCAGGATGAACGGCCAGCTTAGCATGCTCACAGTCATACTTTACCAAATCCAGTATTCATACATGAGTCGTTCCTTCCCGGAACGCTCGTTCATATTCCACATCATTTTATCCATCTCATATACTTTCCATTTCTTATTATACATCATTTTAATTTCATCTTTAACACCAATTCGACTAACAACAAAAACCGAACGTTCAGTCCTCACTCAGAATGAGGACGAACACTAAGAACGAGACTGAGAAGTCGCTCGTTCTAGAATGGAATAAGACTGAGGGATTACCGTTTGATTTAGGAATAAAACCGAGTACACTTTTACCATATGAGACGACCGTGACTTACAACATGAATCAGTTAAATGAACTGACTCTCGTGAACTCCAGCTAACACTCGAAGAATACATCAGGTACGGGGACTCTAGGTCGGATACAACTAATATAGATGTGCCAAGACTTTAAAGAACCATACGTAGAATAGTTCATATACAGAAGCCTAATGCCGGTCAATGACCAAACACGGTAAAGGGGATTCTACTGAATTTGGACGAACGCTGTTTCATTGAGATTGATTAATTATAAACGAGTACTAGCGCTTAGTATAAGACCAAGCACCACTCATTATGAGAATCTGATATGAGGCCGAGCACTACTAATCTTTTAACATAAAAGATTGGTAAATAAGATTTTATAGGAATTGTGTTTAAGAATAATTACCATATACAATTACATACATACATATACAAGATTTATGTTTTTCTCCGAATATTCAGATGCAACTACGCTTGGCCGAACGCTCAAGCACAGTATTATCACAAGAAGACGCTCATCCTCAACTAAGATTCTTTCCAAATGAAAGAATCAAATTTCAAACAAGACTACTAGAAACACCGAACGGTCAAGGATCATTCAATGACGAACGTACATTATCATAGGGAAATTCATATTCAGAATTCATATATAATCAATTTCATTTCTTAACGTATAACTTCATCACTTTACACATTCATATCATAATCAATTTTTCATACTTCATATAGTTCAAACATCTCAACCATCATACAACATATTCATTCAGTCATTCCAACGAACGCGCATACATCACATAATCATACAAATTAAATTAAATAAGCTTCCCTTACCTGGATACGTGATTGAACGTCCTAAGGGTAGGTTTTGGTTCGTCCGACTACAATCTTTCTACCCTCAACGATCAATAACTCTTCAAACTAAACCAAACAACATGAAACCAAAAATAACTTAGGTTACACGCCCGCATGCAACCAGAACTTGGTTTGCATGTAACAGAAGACTAACGACTAAGGACAGATACACTTACCCGTTCAAACTTGAAACTTGGTCGGTTCAAGATGAAGCTTGGAACGCCGAGAATGCTTCTGCGGTCTCTGAATGATGATCGGAGAAGAGAAATGGTGAGTTTCCTTAGAGAGAAGATAGGGTTTCTAGTAAGAAGGAGGAGAAAATGAAAAGATCAGAGTTTGGGAAGAAGATGCATGCAGAGTGAGTGAAACGGGAATTTCAGAAAAATCAGATTTTGCTTCTCTCTCGTTAAAACGAGCGTCCGCTCACTCGCTGACACCTGCCTTCCACTATCTGATTTTCGAATCCTCGCTGCTTGACACCTGGCGTCCGTTCAGAGGGGTTTTTAAGTGCGTTTTAAATGAGCCTAAGAGAAGGGGTTTTAAGTACGTTTAACGAGACCTGACAGTAAGGATTATGAATAATGCAGTCTCGACAAGAGATTTTTTACATATGAACGTAGTTTCTTCATATTACTACTTCAATGCAATCAATTGGATGTGTTAGTGGAATCCCTTCTCTGTTCTACGTAATAAATTTTACCACTTATATTACCCTATTTTGTCAAATCATGAGGCCCTTGTATTTAAAATCCCTTCTAGAGGAGACAAGTCTTTATCTAATAAATTTACAAGTTATTTTCATTTTGAAATTTGAAATAAAAATTTTGGAAGCAAACTAAAAATTGTATGACTCTTATAATCCTTTACTCAAGAGATGGTTCAAAAATGGGGAGAAAGAATTTAAGTGTGGAGAATTAGAACGAAAGAAGTTTTAGGTCTTTCTTTCTTTCTTTTTTAACGAAAAGCGGCTCTTTTCTTTTTCCTTTTTTTAACCTTGTACAAATTATTTCCTCAAAAAGTTACTTCAAACACTTAATTAAAGACGTGTTATTTTCTTTTCTATTTTTTTTCACTTTTAATTACAAAATCATCAATTGCTGTTGATTCGCCTTTTTGTTTTGTAATATTTATAATTCTTTTGACAAAATTTAAACTGTTAATTTAGATGTTTAATTTTTTAAGTTAACAGCTATGGAATTATAAAAAAAATTAGAAGTACATTAAGAGAAACCAAGTCAATGCTATATATTAAAAATACATAAATTATATATATATATATATATATATATATATATATATATATATTCATTCACATATCCAATTTAAAAAATCAAATATTGTTCATATTTATATTTATATTTACGAGAAATAGTTTATTTAGTGTGATATTCAAAACATGGAAAGATGAATCTATTTGTATCCAAGTTCGACCTGTATTAGTGGAAAATTGATTCGTGAAATGTAGAAGTTTTGAAGTTATAAGAGTGGAACCTTTGGGAAAGTTGAAAGTAAGTTTGAAAAGAGAGTTTGAAGTGGTGTCATCTCACAGGTAAAGGGTCTAACTCAAACTGGATGAACCCTATTCTATTCTCTAACATCTTTAAGTCTATACCAAAATAATAATTTATTATGATGGACAGGGTTTTGCCGCTCCACTTCAGTAATTTGCAAGCAAATCTAACACTTTCTTTTTTCTTTCAAGAATCAAATTTCTTCAAATCACTTACCTATCTTTCAGTTCTATATGGTTTAAAAACTTTTTCTTAAGATTAATATTCAATTACAAGTCAAGATAATGCTACTTTTGATAACTTATCATACCAATGAGCTTCAACAGTAATATTTTGTTAATTAATCCTATATATGTACAAAAGTTTGAACATTATAATTTTTTTTTTATTATGGAACTTCAATCTGGTGTTATGCATCTCTCTTGGTTAAAGGGATGTAGGAATCTGATGAAAGTGAAGGCTGAGACAATATGTGTTGAATTTGGAAAGTTGTCGGACTGTGAAGGAAATTTTTGTTGGAGCTGTATACAAGATGTTGTAGGTCAATTGTATATTATCAATCAGACACTGATATAAGATGTCAATTATTTGTTCTGATTACTTCAAGAATTGTGAGCATTAACTTTTATGTATGCTGCAACACAGAAAAGGAAATTTTTACAATCAAGACATTACTCCATTTTCCCCTTTAAACAACAACTTTTTACACCAGTTTTAAATTATGGAGTATAGGTTCATATGCTATCTTTTTTTTTGAAAAAAAATTATTGATAACTTATAAAAGTAAAATAATCATAAAATAACTAATATTTGTAAAAGAAAAATAATGTTAAATGAGTGTAAAAAAAATTGGATATCAAAATAGTATATTGGTCTTTTTTTGTCTAAGATAACATTTTTTTTAAATCATTGTTTTAAATTATTCTAATTAGTAGCACTTTTCAAACAAGGCTTAAGTAATCTTTTTTTTTTCTTCATAATTTTAGGCAGTATAGAAACTATGTTGATAAGTATGTTGATTACAGTGTAGTAGTGTTAGTACATTAGTTGTTTTGTAATTGGGCTAATAAAATTTTATTAAATGTACGTAACGATTATATAATTTTAAAATTATTTTAGTGTTTTGATGATTCTAATATGGGATTAGAGAAGTTACATTTGGATATAAAATGATATAGATGAAAAACAATCACATTAAGTTACTACTAATTTGATTTTAAATTTTACCCTATTTTATATGTTACATCATAAAAAGATATATATAAAAAAATGAAAT